AGCACAGCATGTTAGAGGCCCCTGAGATTTGGAATAAAAGTGGTCGTATTAAGTACAAGATTTTCTGTGACAAATATAAGCTCTCTCCCCACCGAGGTATACTAAGACATCAGTTCATACCTGACAAAAAGCAGATTCAACAGTTACCATTTGTGTTTTACGTTAGTACATAGTTTTTTATTAGAACTGTCCAAAAAGAGAAAACAGGGTCTTTCCTTTGTGTTTAATCTGCATCTTTTTCACAAAAAACATTTTTTGTGTGGTAATGATTTAAACTCCTAAGACCCAAACTCTTCCATGGCATGCATTTTTTAATATCTCTTTGATATGTGGGCTGATTGGGACCTGATGAATATAAAAACAAAGAATTACCAGATTTTTTTTTTTTTTTTTTATCAAATTTTTGTTTCTGAGAAAAATGAGAGCCACGTATGAGGATATTCATTTGAAATTTCGATAGAACAGTTGCAGTATAATGTCCTCATAAGTGGATATCAGGCCCTTGTTGAGCAAGATTTAGTATTTTGGTCTAAATAACCCAAAATGTGATGTTCACATATGTGGACGCCAGGTCCTAGGACAGGGGTGGGCAATTCCAGGCCTCGAGGGCCGGTGTCCTGCAGGTTTTACATTTCACCTTGGGTCAACACACCTGAATCACATGATTAGTTCATTACCAGGCCTCTGGAGAACTTCGGGACATGTTAAGGAGCTAATTTAGCCATTTAAATCAGCTGTGTTGGTTTAAGGACACATTTTATTTATTTATTTTATTTTTATTTATTTATTTTTTTGCCTGTCCCATTTGGTTCTTTAGCCATCAGAATTGTTGTCTGAAGACCAACAAGGATACCCAATGGATTTATTTTGCCAAATGGATCATCGTGGCATTGCCGTATTGGTCCATTTGATCGACCTTTGTTTTTATTATTTATTTTATTTTATTTTCAGTTGTTACAGATGGGACAGACATGAGTGAGGGATAGGAAAGGGAGAAAGAAAAAGGAAGGAAAAGAAAAACAGAAGGGGAGAGGGACAGTGAGAAAGGGGGAAAAAAATCTCCTGGATCACCTGTTGAGAGAGAAAGAAGAGAAAACAAGCAAAAAACAAAAAAAAGCAACATACTAAACACAACACCATCGCATTAATCTAGCTAAGTGTAAACAGCAGTAAATACTAAATATTGAATGTTGTTGTGCAGCACGCAGGACAGACATTGCACAATATGCTTTGAAGTAGCAGCCAAGAAAGGTGTAATTTAAGTCTACGAGCAGTGAACACCTGTGTGCACACCTGTGTGGATCAGCACGCTTGTATTCAAATGGTTTCCACATGTAATGGTCTGCAAGAGGATGTAGAGAGCCATAGCCTGTACCCCAGGGCATGAAGCAGGCATGGAGGAGATCCAGGCCCCAGACATCCAGAGGCCCCAGAGTGCGAGAGCCCAAGGAGGACCACCGGAGGGGCATCCGTGCCACCCTCCTGGGAAGGGCTCCTCCTCTTTTGTTACCTCTCTTTGCACTTCAACACATTCCCAGGAAGGTTTTTTTTGTACTCTGTTGGAGATTATTTTTTCTTGGTTTGGTACTAGATGCAGAGCTAAAACTTCTTCTCACATCACATTATGTCATTGTGTGAAACTTTAATTCGAGATGTTGGAGTATCAATAACTTTATTAACGTTGCCCTATTTCCTCTTAATACCAAGCAACTAATTTTTCTTCTCTGTCAGAGACATGAGTCTGAGAACACTACGTCAAACACCATTTCTTTTTCTATTGAGGTCACATTTGTACCACATGGGCTTTCTTTACAAAAAGAGTCTTAATTTTCATTTATTGGGATCTCATAAATGTACAGTTATTTTACCTCTTCCAAAACAAAACATTCACTCATTTACCTCACATTTTCAGCCATCGTCCATACTTCACGTTGTTGTTTAATAGGCTCTGAAACCTTTGGGCATTACAATATTTAAATTCAAATTCAAATTCAAATTTTTATTTGTCACGTACACAGTCATACACAGTACGATATGTAATGAAATGCTTGGACAACTGCTCGTGACCTAAAGAAAACAAAAAAGGAAAAGGCTATGAATAAGATAGGAAATAAATAGACATTTAGAATTTAGAAGACATAAACAATTTTTCAGTTGAATTTACACACATACACACACACACACACAATATATATGCTAAAGTACATTAAATTCTACTTCTCCTGTCTTTATTAATTCAATTTCAACATACTGAAATCGGGTTGTTTTTTTATTGATTTGTTTAGTTGAAAAATGAAAAGAGGACACCGCTGCCCACAACCACAACCACCAACATGTAGTTGTCTGATTACACCACACAGAAAACAGGCAACCAGGTTTTAGAAAAAAAAATATCAGAGCACACAAACCAGAGGGCGGTGCCCATTTCTGAAGTGAAAGTAGCATTAATGCCAGTCTTCAAATGACCTGAAATTTTATTTATTTATTCATTCATTTTATAAAACAGGAAAACAGGAAATGCGGCCCACGGCCATCAAATAAGTGGACCTCTGATCTCAAACATAAAACAAGCAACAATGGTTCCTGGTTATAACAGGTCAATAGGTTGAGACAGATTCTTCAGCATTTGGCAGCCTGTCAAAGTAACAAATGATCTTGACGTCTGTGATAAGGGGGGAAATAATAAAGCCCTCTGGAAAGTGAGAGCTCTCCTAAATAGATTTCAACAAAGCTGCCATGAAAAGATTCCCTTCACAGGCCGGTGTCCTGTATGGGCTTTACAAACCAAATCCCAGAACTTCAGAGAACTAGCTTACACAATTCCTTTTATCCATAATGGACTTCTCAGACTCATCAAAAGCTGCTTTTTCCTTTGCCTGAACTTTCATCTTCTTGCTCTAATATCTGGTGGTCATTTGCTGACATCTCTAAGTATGACTAAACTTCCACAAATATCTTCCTGCCTCACTCAGGCCTCATATCATTCCATAATCAAACAGGACTTAATTTCCACTAAAAAATAAATAAATTAAAAATTAAAAAATGAAGCAACATGATTTACCACAGGATTAAGACATAGATATAGACACAGACAAACAGGCACACACAGACACAAACATGCATTCCCACCCTCATGAACACATATACAAATACTCAGCACTCACCCAACGTGGAGACAAACAGAAATCGACACCTTACACACACTCACACTCCCCAAACATACTCTACACCCCAGGTCCAGATACCCTCAACCCCGGAGAGACAATCGGCTCCTAGACCCAGGAGATGTTACCCTTTTCCCTGGGGTGGGGTCACGCAAGTAGTCCCTACCTGGGACCAGCTCCCCTGCTGACTCCAATGACTTCCACAAGCAGAGAAAGAGAGAGTAATGCATTGTGCTGAAAAATTATTAAATGATCTCAAGAGAAACTGCCTCTGCTTTCAAGGAGAAAACTTAAACAGGCACAAATTTTCAGCTCTAACTCCCATGTGCAGGAGTATTGCTACTGTGAATGAACGGAACGGAAAAAAACCCATCCACCCAAACATGTGGTAATAATGAGTATGCGCCGTTTTGTGTGTGTGTGTGTGTGTGTGTGTGCAGTGCTTGTCTGTGCCACAGATAGCTTTTATCAAAATGTGACGATTAGCAAAAGAGTGGGTGAAGGTGTGTCACTGTGGAGACGGGTGTCAGATTATTTTTAATCCGTGATACAAGTCCTGCATAAATGCGTCAAAGTTCCGCAAAGCCTCGCTTTGCCCATCACTACCACTAACCCACAGTCAGCAGGCAATATGATTGCAATACTTTGTAGTATTAGAATTTGCAATGGTATTTGTGTCTTTACTACTTTTGCTTAGACCAGTGGATCACAGTGACAGTTGGACAGTTGGTCCTTGGTGGAGTGTTGTGCAGACACTATCAGGAATTAGTCCAGCATAATTTAACATAAGGAATCAAAAAACAAATACAAAGTGTGATTTGTGCATGCTTACTAATTATTTACTAATTCAATTAGATATTAATTATTTAAATTAAAAAGTTGAAGACATTTACACCACACAATGACACACAGAAAAAATACAAAGGATATGAAACAGGTGAGTAAAATATGGACCAGTTTTAACAGTTTACAATGTGCTTGTTTTACACAATTTAAATAGAGAAACAGACGTGTAGAAAATCTAACATTTTTTTTTTTTTTTTTTTTGACCTCACCAAGCAGGACCAGGCAAAATATACAAGCTGTCAGTGCAGAAGCACCAGGTTCACAGTCTCATGACAGACCACAAGATACAGTCTGACTTAAGGGTTAACTCTGCCCTCTGCTGGTGAGTGTAACAAATGTGCAGAGGGCATTTAACCTACAGTAGACATGTTTTATACTCAAAATTATTAATCTCATTAAGCTATGACAGAATGTCCAGAGAGAAAAGCATCTCGGGAAGAATTTGTTGAGTAACATTTTCCCAGAATGAGAACAATATTGGCCATTAAAAAGTGCTCACCTGTTGGACGTTTCAAGCAAGTATTTATCCTTAAACAATCTAGGTACGTTAGTATTGCCACACCTGATAGGATTTGGCTCAGATTTTATGCCTGATGATCTTTGAGGCATAACACTCCTATTTAATGGGGACTGGGATGTAAACTAGGAGTACACTAGCTGTGATGCCCTGAGGCTTGGTTTGTGCCTGCTGTCTTCTCTTGGTCCTGACTGGGGGACCTTTTACATGTTAGGCAAATGTGTTCAGTCCAAAGAAGCACACTTACCCTTGCATAATAAAACATTTAAAATGTTACCTGAAAAAGTTATTAAACCAAAAACATGACAGCAAAATAACAGAGGGATTAGGAAATATGTCCAAGTTCCAGTCTTATTTTGCAGAGACGCAACTTTAAGACGCAGAGGTGTGGAGATGACAGTGTGAGAAAAATGGTTCAAAGTGGAATTATTCATACACAAAACCACCAGATCAAAGAACATTCATCCAGGGAAACCCACAATGAAACTCAAATTTTGTCGATTACATCATTCACAGTGGAGTACACTGGCTCATCTTCCTCTTTCTCCTTTTCTAGTTCAGACTGTTTCAGGTCCATCTCTGTCATCATCTCCTCCTCCTCGCCCTTCACCATTTTATCTTCCCGTTTGTCTTTTATTGCTTTCTTAATTTCAGCATACTCCGTCTTTGTGCTTTCTTGCTTTCTCTCTGACTTGCTGTTTCTTTTCAATAGGGAAAAATCAATGTCTGCATACTCCACTTCTTGCGGAGCACCGCTGATTTCAGGCACGTCTTTCTCTGCTGCCACACTTTCATCTTCAACTTCTTCTTGTGGGTTGGACTGATTGTCTTGTGTTTCTTGACCATCATATATGTGCTAGGTACAATGTAAATGATACAAGTCAATTACCAGCCTCCAAAACCCCAGTATTGCACGTTAGATTGTGTCTATCTGGGTAATCTGCAATACTGCAATACTAATGTCAAAATCATGTCATGCAGTTCTTTCTTCTGTGGGTTGAAAATCAGGTTGATTCAAACCTAATTACTTTTTCACAATGCTTACACATTCCTTACATTTTCCATTAAGTTTAAGTTGTGGTGTTTGAAATAGCAGCAAGAAAGACAGAAATCATGGTGCTGACTGTACTATAAGACATACTATCTACAGAACTTCAATTTATGCATTTTTTTTTTGGTAAAACTCCTAATTAAAGATGAAAGTCTATTACATTGATTGTTTGATTAAAAATCTGATGTGGCTGTGTACAGAGGCAAAAACTACAGAAATTCTGTCTTTATCCAACAAATTATGGACCTATATGTGGTTCAGATTTCCTATGTTATAGTCCACAGTGTTTTCATGAAATAATCTTAATGAGAATAACTGGGATTATGTTGATTTATCTGTTTTCAGTGATTTAGGAGGATTATGCAAAACTTACCCTTTTGGCTAACATGAAACTAGGTGGAGAAATAAAGGGTGGGCTTATGAAAAGAACCAATTAATTTTTGGTACTGATCTGTCCCTGTTTTTTTAAATTGCAAAACTTTGAAGCAAATATAATCAAATATAATTTGATTATATTTGCATGTTCGAAATAAATTATGTCTATCTAAAAAAAAGATGAGTTTTCTTTTTCTCTGTCCTCTTTTATTGCATATATTTTCCTTAAGCAAATGCTGATGAATTAGACTGATAGAGGTTGGACGTAGTTCAAAGGCATCATGAATACACAGTAACCTACCTCCAGTACTTGTTTATCCTTGCAGATCTTTTAGTACGTTTAAAACTATATAGAAACCAAAAGACTAAATTGTATATTTCAGTAATGAGGATATTTGTGCACAATTAAATACTTATAATATGTAAAAAAAAAAAAAAAAAAAAAAAAAAAGCTAAATGAACATAAATACCTGTGGATCGTCTTGACTTGTTACCATCTCCAAAGTCTCATCCAAATTTCCAGAATTCTTTGTTTTTTTCTGAATAAAAGGGTTTTACATTATTAAAGTCAAGTGTAAATAATCTATTTAAAAAAAAAACGAAAAATATAATAAAAACAAGTGTCGTACCTTGAACATTTTTTAATCAAACAGCAAACAACTGCAGAAAGAACTACTCCAATCAAAAAGCAATGATGATTTCTAAATATCCCACGTTCAAAACCGATGAGTCAGCTTTACTCAAATGGAACAACATGAAAAGGTAATTTCAAAGATGCTTTCAATTATATACAGTCCAATTAATTGATTTTCTAATGTTTTTATAAATGCAAAGGTCTCACTTATGAAATTAGAATACATACCCACTGTATCAGAGACACTTCGGATCATTAGATTTTTTTTTGCTTCTCCCTTTTCATTGTTGCTCACACATTCAACAGTGCTGTTGCCATAGTTTTTTACCTTTAGACTGACAGTGCTGTGACTGTGTGATTTGACACAGTCGTTTTGATAGCGTACTCTTTGTGGTTTCCAAGGAGCGGGCCATTTGATGGTAGGTAAAGGAAACCTTCACTGACACACACACAGGTCAAAACCTCTGCTTGAAGCACACATTCAGAGACATCCTGGATCTTTGAAAACCCTGAAAACACATGACCAGAAATATATAACAAGGTGAGGTATGATTTTAAGTGTTAAATATGAACTTCACATCAACAACCGTACTATCTACTTACAAGACACAATCACACTGACAGATGATGTTACAGTTGTGTCTAGATGTGTTGCTGTGCAGGTGTACTGTCCCGAATCTTCTGCTGTCACATTCTGGATGACAAGTGTAGCTGAGCCACTGTCATTTTGCAGGTCAGTGTAAGCTCCAGTATCTTTGCTGTTTGTTTTAGAGCTAAGGTCTCTCCACATGATAAGGGCTGGAGGAAAACTTTCAACACTGCAGGTCAGATTCAGAACATCTCCCTCCTTTATGATTGTATTCCCAGTGATTTGAGGTGTCCTTATATCTGTGGAGAACATTGCAGTAGTTTTTTTCAGAATGAAGAAAATAATTGAAATAAAATGGGAAAAATAATAATCAGCTTAGTTGTCCCCTGTGGTAACAACCATCATAAAACTCTTCAAAAAGGTAAAGTCAAATTTGTCTCCAGATATTTTGCTGTACAGATGTATAGATATACAGTTCAGTGTATTCTTATCACATTTGGGATGACAAGCTGATCCAGTGTCATTGTGCAAATCAGTTTCATTGTAAAGGTCTGTGCTGTCAGTTAAGTGTCAGGACTGACAAAGCCATCCACCACTAGCAAATGTCAGTGTTGCTGTCTTTGACAGGAAGTTGTAAGCAAGGAACATAGACATTAACATAGATGCCAGATACTGTTGACAGCCAATGCTAAGCATTACACCCAGAGCACAATGTGCCACAACTTTCAGTTAAGTTATTTTAAATAATAAAAATGGTTTCCAATTGCTCTTTAATACATACATGTTGAGGCAGCTTGACATATTTAAAAGTGTCTGAATACAATATTTTTATTTACCTGAGTGAAAAAAGCTCTGTCTGAAGGATAAAATTGCTTACTCACACATCACTGTTATGTTGATGTTTTCCTGCAGGGTATTGTTCATATGCTTTGCTGTACAGACGTACTGTCCAGAATGTCCAGTTGTACCATTAATTATGTAGAGTGTGGCTGATCCAGTGTCATTGTGAAGGGTTATATCAGAACCAAGTTTAGACCACATAATCAGAGATGGAGGAAAACTTTCAACACTGCAGGTCAGGTTCAGAACATCTCCCTCCTTTATGATTGTATTCCCAATGATTTGAGGTGTCCTTATATCTGTGGGGCACATTACAGTAGTTTTTTTAGAAGGAAGAATCTAATTGAAATAAATAGGGAAAAAGTAATACATAGATTAGTTGTTCCCCATGGTGATCCTATAACCACCATCATAAAATCATTCAAACTGGTAAAGCCAAATTTGTCTTCAAATGTTTTGCTGTACAGATGTAAAAATGTACAGTCCACAATAGTCTTATCACATTCTAAATGACAAGTGTAGCTGATGCAGTGTTGTGCAGGTCAGTGTAATTTTCATTGTGAAGGTCTGTGCTTCCCTCATTAACAGTTATATTCCCAGTTATCTCGAGTTTCCTTTTATCTGTGGCACAGTTTTGGTTTATTAAGGAGGTAAAAAAGCACAAAGAATTATTGTAGTTTTTTTTTTTTAAAAAGAAAAGAAAACCAGTAATGGGAACAACGGCGTTACAAGTAACGGCGTTACTTTTTTCAGTAACGAGTAATCTGACTAATTACTATTCCTATCATTACAACGCCATTACAGTTACTAACAAGAAAATGCGGTCCGTTACTATTTTTCAACAAACAGACAGTTGAAGCTGTGTTCAGCTTACCGCACCTTATTTCAGTTGCACGGAAGTAGCTGACTATGTAAGTAATCTGTGCACTACAGCTTTAAACAGCTGCGTGCGCTCCCGCGGATGGCATTCATGGCATGAGTGCTGCTGTTTGACTGAGGAAGAATTAAGTAGTCGTGGTAAGCCAATCACACGGCCACTTAAAGACAAAACAACAAGGTGATATTTCTTGTGTAGTTAGTGTGTAGTGTTGTGGATAGTTTTGTGTTGTGTGTCAGAACAATGAGGCGATTGCTGTCTCCAGGTAGAAACAGGAGTGATACACCTGCTGCTGTCAGACCTGCAGGTATCAGGCTGTGATGTTCTCCTTTATAGTGGACAGAAATTATTTTTGGAGTGGCACAAATAATTTGTGTGGCATCTTATTGAATGCAGAACAGATGATTGTTCTGTAAATAGTTTGAAATGGTTATTTAAAAAATCAAGGTAAAAGGTAAATGGATGCAAATAACTTTGTTGTTTGCAAAACTTGTGCATATGATTTTAAAACTGACAATTTATATTTGCATTTAAAGTTATGAAATATGATTCATTAAACATGTTTGTGGTTGTTACAGTAAAAATATAACTTTTTCTACTCTGATTTTATGTTATTTGTCTGATTTTAGATCAATTGTGTTAATACAGTATGTAAAATGAAACATGATTGTAAATTCAGACACGTGAGGTTGTGCTGAAAAGGAAGATACCAAACAAGGCAAAGTAAATCGTTTTTAAAGGTAAAATGTGGAGGGAAAATCAAAAGTAGTTAAAAATGCCCAATTATACCCTGGCCCCTGAGGGTTAAATGTTTTTTTTTAAAGTAATGCAATAGTTACTTTTCAAGTAATTAATTACTTTTAGAATATTGTAACTCAGTTACTTTTTGAAGAAGTAGCTAATAACTATAATTAATTACTTTTTCAAAGTAACTT